AACTCTTTCTCCTTCTTCCATTGTCAGCTTTTTAGTAGTCAGGGACTTTTCTGTGCTTATTCCTCCACTTCTCTTACTTTATTCATGACCCCAATGTCTTCTTTAGTCAAAATAAAGCTCCCCCAATCATCCCAACTCTCTTGTCCCCTCTCTTCCCTGATTACAGGCTCCAGGTTCCTTCTTTCTCTTTGACCCACTTGCCATCTGCATGAAACCCTCCTTTGCTGTGCTCAGCTATAGAAATACCATACTCCTTAACACAAAATTCCATCACTTTGACTTCCCCACTTTAACCCTCTAATAAGATAAGTTCATGCCTTTGTCTCCCACACACCCCTGCTCCCTGCACTGTCTGGGTGTTTCGCGTCAGCACAACCAGGTTCGGTGAGCCTGAGGAGCGGTGGTGAAGGGTTAAAAAAGACAGCCAAGAGAATACAGCTGGTGATAAGTCAGATCACTGTGCCTAGATCAGGAAACAGTGACCCAACCTGCAAGCTGAAGCTTTATTTTATAGTCAGAGCACACAAAGCAAAACAAGGGAAGTGGTCAACATGTTTACAATGTTCTTGTGAGTTTCACCTTGTTTTGGCAACACTTGTTGCACCTCCCACAGCTCATTAGCTACCTAGGAAGGAACTAGGGAGGACTATAAGGTTAAGCATAATTATGCTAGGAGTGCCCTGCCCTACAAGCTGGGACTTGTTTGTGGCTCTGCCACAGGTCAGTCTGAGGATTAAACCCATAGCTGCTTCCTACATCTCCCCCTTTTTTGTATTTAAGCTACTACAATAAACATAAAAGTTTTAAGGCTCGGCTATTAAAACAATGCCATTGCAAAAAAAAAAAAAAAAAACTACACACAACATTTTACTATTTCTACAAAATGAAAGTTTCAGCTACAAAATGAAAGTTATCTACTCAGAGTCCTCAGATTTGGCCGTGCAAGACTTTACAGAAACCTGGCAGCTCACCAACGCTAGTCAGAATCTCGGCCCCTTGCATACCCTTCATTTCTTCTTCTGCATTGTTGTCATTGGGGCAAGTCTCAGTCCTGTGAACATAGGGACAAAGATCTTCTCTGGGTCCCCTGTACCTCCTCCTACCGCTGGTGCCGCTTCTCCATCTCCTCGATGAGGAGGCCCGACAGCTGCCGCAGGTCGGTGAGCCTCTGTGGAATGGTCTCAAAATTCAGGCTGCTGCAGTCGGTGACAATGCTCTGGCTTCTCTCAACGATTCTGTCAATGCAACGATGTCATTGGTGCGAAGATGGTGTTAATGCAAAGATGTCGTTGATGTGAGGCTGAAGCTGTTGGATTTCCTCCTGGAGGGTCTGATTTTTCTTTATAGTCTTCAGATTTGGATTGAGGTCATCAACTACAGACTATATCAGACAGTCCTTAGACAACACTCCTTAACAAAATAGCCTAGCCTGGCTCTAAGCATCCCATGGGCCAGGACTTCCATCCTTTGCTTTACAGTTCCTAACAAAATGTAAGAAATTTAAAAATGCTTAATTGAACATTGTTTTAGAGATCCCTTTCCTAAGATCCTGAATTTCCCATGTTGTACACCCAGCTGCTTATCAAACCTCGCTCCATACCTTACTTTTGCTTTCTGAACATGCCTCATGGGAGCATCTTTCACCTTACAATTGTAGTTCCCCATACTCAGGCCCCATGTTGGGCGCCTCATGTGCGGCCAGGTTCCATGAGCCTGAGGATGGTGGTGAAGGGTTAAAGAAGACAGACAAGAGAATACAGCTGGGGCTAGGTCGGATCACTGTGCCTAGATCAGGAACTAGTTACCCAGCCTGCAAGCACAAGCTTTAGTTTATGGTCAGAGCACACAAAGCAAAACAAGGGAAGTGGTCAACATGTTTACAATGTTCTTGTGAGTTTCACCTTGTTTTGGTAGCACTTGTTGCACCTCCTACAGCCCATCAGCTACCTAGGAAGGAACTAGGGAGGTCTATAAGGTTAAGCGTAATTATTCTAGGAGTGCTCTGCCCTCCTTGCTGGGACTTGTTTGTGGCTCTGCTACAGGTCAGTCTGAGGCTTAACCCTATAGCCACTCCCTACATCTGGGAAAACAGAGTCAGTTCCTCCTGTAGACTTTTGTGAATGCAGGTGATTTCTTTCAACATGCTCTCCAGCTCCTGGGCCTGCTTCCTCAACTCTTCAGCCGATGGAGCCTTTGCGCCCTCATGTAAGTGCTTTGACTCTTTCACTAGCTGGATTACATCCACGAGAAGGAAAAAACCTGCAGTGGCTATACCAGCAATTCTGGCTCCTTTGCTCATTGTCAGAGCAGTGCCAGCAAAAGCTTTCTGTAGCTGCTTGCTGCTTTGGCCTGAGATTGTCCCAGTGCGAATGACACTTGTAGCCTCAGCTGCAAAGAGAGGATTGGATTTGGCCAGCTTGAAGGCCTGGCAATTCTCCAAAATATCTACCAGGGATTGGCTGCACTTTTTTAAAAGGAGCCCAATTTTGAATGTGTTGCGATGTAGATCCTCCATGACCAAGTTCCCTGTGTCATTGCCAGTTGACACTAGGCGGCTGGCTTTGGCTTTTGCTGACTTTTTCTTTGCGAAGTCCACTATGCCGGCGGTCACACTGGTCACAGAAGCTGCTGCCCCCAGTCCCACCCCAGTTGCCCAAAGCACCAGACTAGCTCCTGCTGTCACAGGTGCCAGAGACAGGCCAACGATGGTCAGAATGCCAGACACAATGCCCGTGGAAGAGGCCGCCACTTGGGTGATGGTGCAGTCCTTGTGTACCTTGTCAACCTCATCCGCAAGTGTGTAGAGCTTTCCTATGCATTCCTCAAGTTCCTGTTTCACCTGAGGAAACGCCTTCATAAAGGTATCCACATGCAGCTGGTCTGCTGAGGACATGTCTTTGTCCTCCACGGCCATGAGTGTTTCCAGCTGGCGCAAGTCTTCATAGAGTGCATCTGCCTCATCCCTGTAATAATGAATGACAGGTGATTAACAAAGGCAGGTGTATGAATTGCTAAAGCTGAAACCACTGATTGGATGAGCTGGTGCAAGAAGCCCTATTCTCTATGGTGGGAACATGTGCATCTACTCAGAGTCCCTGAGATTACACCACATTGGCAGCCACCCATTCTGACTGGAAGCAGTCACCAAGCCACACTGCCTTCCCTCTGGTCAGGGTTACTCCAGTGAGAATAGAAGAGGGTCCCACAAGGAGGTCAGGAGCCCTCCAGCCGACAGTCAGGGTTGGAGGACATATTCACCCAGAGTCCTCTAGCCCCAGCAGAGAGGGGATCAAATCAGGGAAGAAAGAAATGTGCCCCCTGCCACTGCTCGGCCCTCCATTATTAGGCCCCTGGCCACCTTAGTCCTGTACCCACATGCCTCAACTGCCTCACTCTAGTCCCAGCCAAGCCTTCCAACCAGTCCTCCCACCAGGACCACCCTGGCTCCATCCAACTCCGGGCTCTGACCCTGCTTCAGGCCTCTCAGGGCCTCCAGACAAGATGACTGCACTTGCTTTTTCACCCTTGATCATGCAGTTCACCCCAAGGTCTTCACCATAGTCATATCAGACAGACTTGCCATTCCATTGAAGAGGGAGATGAAATAAGCCCACAGCCCCAGAGTTGGGCGGAGATACAGTCAGTTTTCAACCCAACAAGGTCCAGCTTCACTTCAGCTCTCTACCTTCCAGGCCAGCAAGACCCTGAAGAGTTTGTACAATCCCTTTCTTAGGGAGAGCAGGCTCTCTAGCCAAAATCCCCAGGGACACACACTGTGCCAGGAATTTTCTGGCTTGTCCCACAGGAAGTCCTACGTGGTTCTCATATTCAACAAGAAGACGCTTGGGCCCTGTGTTTTCCCCGCATCTTTTTAAAAGTTCATGTCAACTGACCACCTACTATGTGTCAGTCATTAGGCTAAACAGTTTACATGCATTATCCTATTTTCCTCACAATGAAATAGAAATGATGAATAAGACAGAGAGTGGTTAAGTAACAGGCCCAAGGTCACATAACCCTCCCCCTGCAGGCCTCATCTCTTCTCAACCGGGGCCCTTCTCTGCCAACAAATGATATGAAGGAAATGTTCCTCATGGACTGTTGAGAAAGAACTTCTTCAACCCCAAGCACAGGACCCTGCCTGGAGGAGTGTGCCTGCCAGAGGAATCTAGATCCAGGGGGAGATGGGGTGACAACACAGGCATCCCCTGGAGGTTACCTGGGCAACTTGGCTGCAGCCACAAATCTCTTCCAGGCTTCATCACTTAGCAGGCATTGCAATTTCTCTTTGTTCCTTGGGTCTATTAAATATTCAATAACTTCAACAAAGTCTTTTCCCTCTAGATGGAAAGAAAAAAGAATAAGGTTAGAACAAATTGTGGTAGAATGGAAATTGAATTGAGTATAAACAAAGTGGTTAAATGTTCGTCTTCCTCAGCAGCTGTCACCTGGGGGACTTTTTAAAAAAATCTGGGGTACTTTTGTTGAGTCACCTGGTGTTATGGACAGAACTGTCCCCCCAAATTTATATATTGCAGGCCTGACACCCCATGTGACTGTACTTTTTCATTTATTTTAAATATGTTTTTATTGCTTTTTATATAGAGAGGAAGGGTGAAGTATAGAGGTGGAATCATCAATATGAAACAAGCATAAATCCGTTGCCTCCTGCTAGTCCACTACTGGAGATCAAACGCGAAACCCAGGCACATGCCCTGAATGGGAATTGAACCAGTGACCTCTTGGTTCTTGGGTCAGCTGTCAATCACTGAGCAACAATGGCCAGCCCCCATGTGACTGTATTTTATAAGGTTAAATGAGGTCATAAGTGTGAGACCTAATCCAATATGAATGGTGTCCTTATGAGATGAGGGAGAGACACTAGTTCTCTCCCTCTCCCACTTGTTTCTATTTCTCTCTCTCTCTCTGTATAAATCAATAACTTTTATAAATCTTTTAAAAAATGTGTGACTCTCAGGGATTTGGGAGACTCTGGAAATTCAGATAAGGGACTGGGGACTGGTGTATGTTTTGTGTGTGCAGAGATGGAAATGTGTTTCCTGCCATATACACACAAGATATATTATTAGTATTTCACAGAAAAGAAAGCGAAACTCAGACAGGAAAAGAAGGCCCAAAGCCAAGAAGCAGAAAGCTCAAAGATGCAATCCAAGGCCAACCATCAGACATTTCCTTACAGTAGGTTGAAGCCTCCTTATGTTTCAAAAGTTCATGTGATTTCTGAATCCTACCCTATAGGTTACCTATGGGATTTTTATAAATTTGAAAATAACATTTCAGATCACATGCCACTGATGGAGTAAAGCTACCAGGCAAAGAGGATTCTTCCTGCTTCTCACAGGTGATCCAAGGTGGGCAGTGGAGGGGTGTCTTCAGGTGGTTGGGGGTTGGAGCCTCAGCTCTAATCCTGTGATCAATCAGTATCAGCTCTCCCCCCTCCAGGCTGGCCTCAGGGGCCACAGCTCCTAGCAAGCACCTCTGACCCCACCCTCGCCCACTTCTAAAACAAGAGGTCATCTTGTTTGTCCATAGGAATGGACCTGAGAGTCTGCTCAGGAGCGGCAGGCTTCTGATCTGTCCTCTCCTCCCTTATGCTGCAACAGGAACAAGTTTTATCCTCTCCTGGGGGGGTGATTTGGTTGCCTAGGCAACGCAGTGTTGATTTGGGTGGGTGGAGGGGTGTTTTCTCCATTTCTTGCTTCATCCACTGAGGGAGAAAGTAAACCAGGGTTTAGATGGAGGGAACCCAGAGTACTGCATCTGTGTATTTGTGGGCTAGGCTGTGGGTGGGTGTGGGAAATAACAAAGCGGGCCTCTGCCGGGGTATCTGAGATCAACAGAAGTTCCTGCCTGACAGTCACACCTGGTACGCAGGTGTTTATAATTGGGAGCACAGATCAGGGCCCAGCACAGCTGTGGGGGGTGGCAGTTCTTTGGAGGGGAAGGTTTCCACCAGGAACTAGCAGGTTCCAGTTACGGGGGACAAGAAATTCCAACCTCCCATGGGCTGCCCTGGCCTCGTTGGAGTCATTGCATGAGTTGCAGAGGACGGGAGGCAGTGATCAGCCTGAGGAGAGAGCCAGGAAGGAGGCCCTCCCACTGACTCCTGGTTGAGGGGACTCCCATTGGTCCCTCATGGGGGTTCAAGGACACTCATCAATGCCCTTGGAGGTTCTTGATTCCTGTGTAGCTTAACCAGCCTAGAGATGCTTCTCTTAATTCTAGATCATAAGCAGGAACCAGCTAGAGAGGAGGAAGCTGACTACCTGGGCAGATCCCATCAGCTTCTGAGGTCATGGTGTCAGCACTGGGATCTCAGAGTTTCCCCTTCAGCTCACCAGTCTGTGTCCAACTGGAAGGAGGTGTCACTTCACCCTTGGGGAAGAGAAAACAAATTTTGGGGTCGGAGGTGAGCCATATGAGCAACAGGGAGCAGCGAGAGGCTCTGTCTCAGGAGTTTCTTTCAGGGAAGGCTGCAAGTGCCAAGATGGACTCAATGCACTGTGTTTCCATGTCTGCCAGCATCTGCTGGCTACTATTTAAGAGAAGGTACTCACCTCACTCCAGCGCACTCTAAGCCAAGTGACAATCCTGTTGTCCTGTGGTGGCACAACGAGAAGACCATCAGACAAGGAAACACACAGCTGAGGAGTCATAAAACCAAAGAGGGAATAAGACCAGGAAGCAATAAAACACGAAAGATGGGAGGAATGTTTTGGAAATGACTTGAGGTTGGGGACATTGTGTTTATTAATCACTCAGCTAATATTGATGGTGTGTCCACCACAGGCTCCTTACGAGTTCCCTCACCAAATTCTCTCACACATTCCACGTGGTGGGCGCCATGGTGGCTCCCATTGGAACGTGGTGGAAACCATCACAAAGTCTAGGTTTTCACCTGAACTCGGGTTATCCCAAGTCTCACAGTAGGGCTAGAGCTAGGACTCCAGCCCAAGTCTTCCTGATCCCAATCCTGTGTTTGTGAGGACTAGGCTCGACTCTCTTTTATATACAAAAACATTTATTAATGTGTCTGTGTTACTTGTAAATGACTCTTCTCATTCCCAAAGGATGTCTTGCACCCTATGCCAAGTCTCTGTGTTGATAAATTCCTGGGGCTGCAGCTTCCCAGGCCTGCACCCTTCTTGCTTCTGAAAGACCCTCATGGCCTAAGGCCCTGGGGTCCTGCGGCCCTGGCCCCAGCCCTGCAGCCCTGCTGTGGGCTGCCCAGCCCTCCTGATGCTGCCCGGTCCTCTCCGCTGCCCACACCCACTGGTGGATATTAGCTTTTTCCAGTTCTTTGTGAAAATAGTGCAGAAACATCCTTCAGGCATAAAGTTCATCTGCATTTGAGATTGCTTCCCTAAAAATATTTAATAAATAGAATGACCGGGACAGAGGGTATCACCATATAAAAATTCCTTTATGCCTAGAGTCACACTCTAATGAAAACAAATTGCACCAATTAACATTCATGCTCAGAGGATATGAGGTGCCAATCTTTTCCATCTTCCAGTTCAGAGTACTTTTTAAACACGCACACACACACATCTTTCTTTTTAAAATTCTTTTATTATGCTAAAACATGCACAACATATAATTTACCACCTTAACCATTTTTAAGGGTACAGCTCAATAGTGTTAAATTATATTTTCACTGTTGTGCATCCAGCCTCCAGAACTCTCTTCATCTTATAAAACAGAAACTGTGTACCCACTATACATTCCCCCACCTCCAACCCCTGGAAATTGCCTTTCTACTTCCCATCTCTACGGATTCAAGAGCTTCATTTAAGTGGAATCACACAATGTTTATCTTCCTGAGACGGCTTTATTTCACTTAGCATAGTGTCCTCAAATGTCATACAGGTTGGAACATGGGCCAGAGCGCTTCCTTTTTAAGGCTGTAATTTTTTTAAAAGGATTTTTGGGAAAGTTTATTTGAGTCAAACTGCATGAGATCTAAAATACTCTGGAGAATAACAGTTTCTCAGCATCTTCTCTGCATTTGAAATGAAGGAGGGATGTGCCGGAAGCCGGTCCATCCTTGCTGCTTGACACAGTCACTGCAGGAAAGAAACATCTCACAGCATATGTTTCAAGGGACCTGGCATATATAGCATATTGTTCTTAATATGTTTGCTCTCCTTA